AGGGATGGTGGTGGAGGCACGTACGTGCTATTGATTCTGTCCTTTAACCCACTGAATTGTCCCGGTGGCTCGGCGGTAAGTCTGAAAGATTGCGAAGCTAAAAATTTGGTTTCGATACCCGCGGTAGGCCTAGCACATATAACCTATTGTATAGTTTTGTGCGTAATAACAAATAAAAACATAATTAGGCCAATTATTATTGTACAGTAGAATAAATTCATTCCATTGTATAAAAATTGCTTTCAATGTACGCTTCTTTTATACAGAAAAATTGAAAACAATTTCTATATTTACCAAATACTTTGATGATCATTTCCCACTGAACAATAGTTGGAATTGTTCACAAGTTTCCAAAATTCAGTTAATAAATCTATAAGATCTGCCTATTAATGTTATTTGTGAACTTGACATAGTCGACGAATATTATTAAAACATATTGTACTCTAATATGTTGTTGTTTGAAGTTAAGCACAAAGCTACACCATGGGCTATCTGTGTTCTGCCCACCATCTCTGCTCTGGTATGGAAATCCGTTTTCTAGCGTTGCAAGTCCGCAGACATACCGCTGTGCCACTAGGGAGCGTTACTCTAAGAACATTGAATGAAGTGAATAATAAACACGCTGGTTTTACTCTTTGTTTTTCTTTTTTTAAAAAAAGTTGAATAAACACATATTATCAAGTTTAGAAGTAATTAATAAACACGTTATTTCAATTGTGTTATTTATAACTCTGACATCATTAAGTCTTGTCGTATGTGTATGGAATTTGTAAAGGTGATTTTTAGTTAAGTCTCACCAAATTCATGCATTTTGTAAATCCAGACTTTCCTTTGAAAACGTTTACCATAAAACGTTGCTTTTCGTTTTTTGTATGTAATATAGTTTACCTTGTTTGAGCCATTGTGCATTACTTACTCAGTGGTATTGTGTATAAAGCTTTTCTATCTTCGATTCAAAAATAGGCCAACTATCAGACTCTTTATGTAGATCAAATATTTCTGTAATTCATCTCATGCTGTGATGTCATTTACCTGAATAGACCCCCAGCAGAGAAACAAATCTTAAAATATCCTTCAATTAACATACTGCAAGCATCTTTTCTTGTTTATAATTCAATGGTTTATTTAAACTTGGGCGATTGTAGATGGAGCTAAACTTAGGTTACTGACGTCACACAAAACACTTTGATATATATCTAAAAAGAAACGGTTTTATATGAGAAATCACTATGAGCTCAAAGTTTAAGCCCTTTATCTCTTCTGAAAAGGGGAAGCTTTCTTAATATATTACAAAATGGTTTTCAGCTCTAAATTTGAAAACGTGAGTATTTCTAATTTGAGATATAGCTAAAGGTTATCTTTACACTGCAGAAGTTTTAAAAAGTTTGAGATTAAATGAACTAATACCATATGTTTTGAACAATTAGTCATTGAAATTTGAAAGAGTATTAAAAATACTTAAAGATGAAAAGTTCATAACTTAAGGAGCTCATTTCTACAATAAGAATAATGATGAGAAACTTTTGCTGTCTATCTTTGAAAATAGCAGAAGATATTTTGTGAAACTTTCAAGTATAGCAAAAATTGTAACTCGGTTGATAATTTTCACTGAGTTGATTCTCTTATCTAATTTCAAATGCGAACACGTGTTAGTGTAGCGTCAATTTCAGGTTAAACGTATGGCTTTAGAAACCACAGAATAGTTTAAACAAAACTAAACGTACAGGAAGAACAGAGATCAACAGTTCACTTACCAAAGTTCGTATATGACTTATATTGCATAAATGTATGAAAATGTGTTAAAAATTGACTTTGAAATAATTACTTTCTTTCCAGGAAAATACATAACTTTGGTATTTAAAAAGTACAGTTAATAACTTTAGCGTGAAATTAAACTATTTTTATATTAGTTATTGTATTTTAAATTCCTGTGTTTTAAGAATAATGATAAGAATACCATCGCAATATGAGTGTCTACAGTAAATATTGCATAAGAAAATTGAAATGTTGAGATTATTCGGCTGCGTTATCCTGTACTGGGATAAAAAAAACACGTAGGTACAATGCATGAAATCTTCGATAACTTTTTTGCCAGTTTCGTAAGAAGTCAAATTATATTTTCAAATCAAATTTCATATTTTATGTTATTTTATAAACACTCTGATCATATTTTAAATATGTATTGTTTTGCTGTCGAACAACTAAAGGAATGAAAAACTTATTATTTCTTTAATGGCTGGAGACGGCTTAAATGGGTAATGAAGAAAAACTTTAATATAAG